ATGATTTCATTAGAGTTTTTTTCAAAACACTTCACTCTTATAAGGAATATTTAGAAGTTCTTAAAATACTGGAAGGTTGTTTTTATTCAACAAATTGAAAATACTGCCAAAAAGGTTTAAAACATCAATTAAGGATGTGATAGGTATAATGATCTCCAACTGCGAAAGTACCGAAAGGACAGAAAGTAACGCCAGAAATGATATTTTATTAAAAATTAGATACCTATAAGTTATCAATATGATATAAACTTTGAGACTCAGGTCAAATTGTTTTGACTACTTAATTGATATTTTCGTAAAATAGCCAGTTGAAAAATCTGGTATATACATTTCGAAACGGTTTTATATAATTTTTGATTATTTATCATCACTATGGTAGTGAATAGGGGTGCTACAGAAGAATTCATTTTTGTAAAGAGCTCAGATTTGCAAATTTTTGACTTACACCATTTTCATTCTAGGCAGTTGAAATGTCATTATTTTTGCTGTTGGTTTTTAAAAGAATGCCACTTTTTTCTACCACTGAAGGTACAGTTCTCCAACTATTTTCCTGCGTTGTATAGCAGGCTGTGGATAATTGGAAGGCCGAAACAAGTGGTGTTGCCTTGACAACGTCGCGAGAGTTGCATCAGGAGAAAGCCTCCGATGTTCCTGCGAATTCACCCTGCGAAGCGTATCTATCCGACAGACTCCGAGTGCTATTTATATTTGTATCTAAATTGAATCCAAATTTAGATACCTGGAAACAGAATGATTAATCGCTCAATTGTGTGGAAGGGTGAGTGCGTATGGCGAAAGGGTGACATTATATACCGAATCGTTTGAAAGAGGGAAGAGTGAAGAGCGTCGTTATTTTTGTTTCGAAAGCTTTCCGAATCTCGAAGTTGATGAGAATATAAAGAACGAATGAAAAATCGTTTATTTTTCAATTCAATTCCTTTTCATTCAACTCAAAATTGGATTGATTGTTTAACGTAATGAAAAAAAAAATGTTAGCCGTCACGGGTCGCCCGTCAGATGCGAATGTTTGAAATTATTTGGTACAGGTAATATGCATAAAATTACAGATTACGACAGGAACTAATATGATATAATGTAAAAACGAAATATTATGATTTTTTTCCGAAAAATGTTTGTTTATTCAATGAACATTTATTTTCAAGATACAAGAATTAAAAATTCAAACATTTATTTCAAATTGTGACAAATCAGTTCTTTCAACCAATGTAGTAGTTATATTCGATGTTGTCTCTGATGGAATTACTGAAACAATTGGTCAATGATAACTGAAGTATGGTACCAAAAACATTATTATTATTATTATTATTATTCACTCTAAACGATGCAACTAATTTTCCTTTATTTTCAGTTTTTTAATATTAACATATCACAAAAAGAATTTGTGTTTCTTAAAAAATTTAATATTCCAAGTAATCGCCAATATGGATTTCAATGTTCTATGAACACTCAGGACGCCATTTTCACTTTCTTAGAATCTCTTTATATTAATTTAAATGAACGAGAGGCTGCGGCGGCGATATTCTGTGATTTATCAAAGGCATTCGACTGCGTAAATCATGGAATACTGCTCCGCAAACTTGAAGTTTATGGGTTTCGAGGCACGGTACTGTCCTGGCTCAGGTCGTACTTATCGGAGCGTGGCCAAATTGTATCATTTAATGGTA